TAATATGCTGACTCTGTAAACTGCTTAAAGAGAGCTGTAAAGCGGCATATAAGTCTAAGTGCTATTGCTATTGCTATTAAAGTTGCCACTCTACTCAAACTTTTCTATTATTAAATTCTCTGTTTTTAACCTAATTTTTCTACAGATGTGGGAAGGATACCTTTAACTAGAAAAAATATCAAGGAAACTATGGTAAGGGATAGAACATGCAAAAGAATTTCAATAGGCAATGACACATACAATTTGGTCTGCTGAATATTTCCCTATCTGCACATCTATTTGTTTGATCTACATTGATGGATTGTATTTTTTCCATTTAATTTCATTTGTAGTTCTTAAGAATAGGACTGTACAGTAGTGGAAAGAGAATAAGTAGACCATAATTATTCCTTATGAGTTAGCCCTTTTCTTATTAGGAAAACAGTTAATGAAGATCCTCTAACTATCTTCTAGCACAGATCTTGTGGAATAAGGATTTAGGGCAGGCATCATGCCCGATTGTTTTCCTGGTAGCATATGCTTTCTTATTCATTTCCAAAAGAGTGAGCATTCAGTTTTTCACTCCAAATGGACAAAAATAAAGGGTAGACTTATTTTTAAGAAAATGTTTCATTTTGACTCAATGTCTGTGTTAGCTTTTCTAAGAATTTCAGCTACTGACAACAAGATGTATGACGTGAATGTTTCTTCCAACTCAGCTTGTTTAGAAGGGTTAGATTAATCTTCTGGTTGAGGCTGAGGTATGCTTAATATATGGGGCTTCTTGCATGAACTAATGTTACAAATCATGAATAATGAAAATTAAAGAGAAACTGCAGCAAGCCAGTGGAAAATAGGCAAAGTAAGCAAGTAGCCAAATGTTTCTCATCAGTTCCTTTTTCAACAAAAGGTAGCTCTAAGAACTGATTTTCCAAAAGAAGTAGTTTTGGGGTAAGGGGAAGATGATAACCGATATCAGGAGACAGTATTGTCTCTAAAAGCAGACTTTTAGCATGAGGCTGTGTATCTTCTCCACAAAATTAGATGAAAAGTAACATCAAAGGGTAGTAGCAGAGTTCATGAGAACACAAAAACATGGCTTTGAGAAGCTAAATTAAACTGTGATGTTGACTGAACTGAAACTTTTGCTACCGATGGATAATTTAGTGCTAAATAAGATGTTTTTATTAAGGACTTTACTGGAAAACTTTAAAGGCTTGTTCTGAGTAAATACTCAGCAGGCAGAGAAGGGATAAAGGTTGCTGTGAGTAAGTTCCTTCTGTCCTTTTTTTTTTTTTACTATAGGAAGTTAGCACCTACCCTTCTCCTAGAAAAATGATATTTCCTGGGAAATATTGAAAAGGCAGAATATATTTCCCTTGATCAGAAATAGGGAACATGTTTTAGGCAGGAAACAGTCACTTTTAATAGCCCCCACCTTTGTTTATGGGCCATTTTTAAAAATGCCCAAGCCATTCTATTCTACATAACAAAGAGTTGCCCTTCAGCTCCAGGGTGATGAGATTAAGGCATGATAGTATTAGCCCTTTACCCATCTCACCACAGGGCACCTTGGAAAAAGCAATGCTCAACCAAACTTGAACTCAAGACAGTCTAGAGAGTTGCCCCTGCTTGGCCCCATGGGAGTCTAACAGCCAATCAGAATACATTTCTTACACAGGAACAGGAAACAGAGAGGTGGGGACGAACAGAGTATAAAAAACCCAGCAAGCCCCTTCTTCTTTCTCTTCTTCTTTGCCCAACATCTGGAAGCACATGATCACTTTTTTCCCCAAGACTTCAAGCCATGTGGTCCTGTCCACCATTAAACCATCTTTCCAAGCAGCCTCCATGTTTCCAGTGTCTTTTTCCCCACTTGGAGCCGAACACAGAAGGACAATTCTTCCAACATTACACAAAAGTTTTATTTCTTAAAACTTCCAAAAATTATTCTCCTACAACATGAAATAAAAAGGATACAACTTATATTTATTCTCCAAGTCATAAATATTACCTCAAAACACTTGGCTTTTCCTGATGTGTTCCTAAAGAATTCTGGATAATTTTAAAATGTTATATAATTAAGAAAGTTAAAATACACTTTTAACAAGTTAAAATAATCCAATAGGTTTTTTTGTTTGCAAACTTTATGTTCAAAGGCTTTGTTTGCACAAACTTGCAAAGATAAAGATACCACAACTTTCATTAAGAAAAATATGATTATGTGCCCAGTGTTGATTCTTCCTGACCCTATGGATAGATTTTCTCCATGATACAGAAAACTAAACACTAAATAGTAGTAAAACCATACTGCTAAAGTAACTTTTTATTTATCTATTTATTTTTCTATCTCCACCCACATCAACCAATTGACACTTTTACATCAGCTAACACTAACTTTAATTTTAATAAATTTAGTCACTCAAGTATTTTTTGTAGACTTTTACTGAAATTCATCAATGTTTCAGTATAAATAATTTAACTGTTTTTTAAATTGTATATATGAAATAATTTCACTCTTGTATATGCACAAGAGACTCAAAAATTATATGGTGAAACTGAACAAAAAATATAATCCATAACTTGCTAGAAAGAAAAAAACCACAAAAACTATTTTGAAAAATACTCAGGCCTTTCTATCATGGTGTCCAGCTTTAAAAGAAGATACACTGTATTAGTTTTGCTCTTTTTTCAATAAAGAAATAAACTGCCATCTAGTGGTTCAAATGCTAAACTGATCACCTGAACCATGATTTAATGGTTATTATGGCCAAAATATAATATCAGTATTTTATTTGTCATAATGAAAGACAAGGAAAAATGCTACATCTGTTAGATGAGATTAAGATATCATGGAAAGCAAATTTTCCAGCTAACTATAGTGTCACTCCCATACTAGTTTTTTGACCATGTATTCCAGAAAAGTTACTCACAACTTTCTAAAAATATTATTCATCTGTAGCTGAGAATTGGCAATTTGTCCAGCTGCAACCAGAAGCCAACATCAGCACGTACACAATTATAGCATTTGTTCTGTCAGTTGCAAGCTAAACGCTTTAAGGGAACACATTAATTTATGATGTTTTTGTCATTTCCAGCATGGAAATGCTGGATTTGGCAAACAACTGTGGCTATCGTAAAAACACTAATAAAATTAAATGAAGTTATGTAGAGACCCACTTAAAAACCATCCTGACACAACTGAAAATCCAGTCCCAACTCTGATCATAAATTGAGGACTACCTGTATGAACTCATACAGTGTTCAACTTACCTGCAATTTTGCCAAGACTGAGGAAAACATACATGATAAAAACAACTAAGATTTCTAAGCATTGTGGCCTAACTATTTACTGGTTAGATATTCTACAAAACAGAGCTTTTTCCCTCTTTTGTTTGATAACATTAATTACTGCAATTCTTGAATAACTTTAAATGAACCCCTGTAGTAAATATTATACTGAGGGATTTTGATATATCTACTTACAAAACTTTTTTTGTTTCTTCCACTGTTATCAAGTTAATTGCATGACACAAGTTAGAATTTTGAACCATAAGCATGCATTAATATTAATAGCACAATTATTAGAGTTTTGAATTCACTTTGAACATTTTTAAAACGCAAATAACTTTCATAAATAAATTTGAAGAGTGGAGCTTATCTTCTGAGGACTATTAGTTTTCCTATACAGTCTAGCTTTCAGCCCCAGGATCTCTTGGAATTGTCCCATCCAATACTAATTAATTTAGTTATTTATTCATACATTCATACCACTAAAATAGCTGTTCATTTCATGAGATAACTTTAGATAAATTTAGATATATTTTTAAAAAAATTAGCCCAAATACACAAAGAGAGACAGCATATAATACACTTGGGTTAAAAGATACAATTCTAATACAATTATTGAAACAGTGACTAAACAACTAGCCAGAAGGACTCACTGGCCCAAATGCCTATGCATTTAATGCCTTGCAAAAAGCAAACAGGGTTGGGGCCAACATATCTCTGGGGAAATAGTGTACACACCTTAATAATCAGTTCTGATTTTATTTTAGGTTTTTTTCTAGACTATTATGTTGTTATCTATAGCAGGGATCTCCAACCTTGGCAACTTTAAGCCTTGGCAGACTTCAACTCCCAGAATTCCCCAGCCTGGCTGGAGAATTCTGGGAGTTGAAGTCCACAAAGTCCGCCCGGCTTAAAGTTGCCAAGGTTGGCGACCCTCTTATCTATAGGAAGAAATTAACACTTTCCTTATTCTATTTTTAAGGTAAATCCTGTATTTGAATGTGTATTTCTACTTTGACCAAATCTCCCCTTGGTTTCTCAGAAGTACATCCTACAAATACCAGGCAATAAGCCTTGTTGAACTCAATGGGACTTACTTGGGATAAAAAGAAAAGATCCTGCTGTTAGCCTTGTTTTTATCAAAGCTAATCAGAAATGTCCTTCCATCAACTATGCTACATATTTGCTATGCTACATAAGTACAATCAAATCCAAATACTAAAATGAAAGTATTCAATTCAATATTCAATCCTGTAATTTTAGTGTTAACCTGAATGTGAAAATAAAAATATATTCCTCTGCACTGTTATAGAAATGGTTTGAATAATTATTTACATAAATGTTTGGTTTCAGCAATGAATCAGCATCATAAAATTTATTTTGAATGCCAGAGGAATGGGAAAGGGCAGCTAACATCAAATCATTTCTGGAAAAATGTAAATACTTTTATTGTGTTGTTATACGCACAGCTGTTCATTTGACATTTCTGTACACAATTGTCAGATCAAAAATATAGTTTCTTGGCAAGTTGGAATCACAAAACATAACATAAATGAAGTGGCACAACATTGAAAAAAATGTCTCAGACTTTAACTGATACCTTGAAGTCTACATTATAGACTTCATATAGACCATAGAGTCACAATCTGAAAATCAACTAGAAGCAAATATATTGAAGAATAATTCAATGACTAAACACTAGGGGAAATGAATATGAATAATGTAAATACCTCCTGGTTATCCTTATTATGGGTTCCCCAGAAAATCTTGTTATAAAGGATTTCCATTGAGTTGCTAGAATCTGAACGATCAAAACAGTGTCTATCCAAAACCTCCAAAGTGTGCAAAACACGGCTGATAGTAACCCCTGGATAAAAATTAAAAAAAAAACAGAAAAGAAAAAATGAAGGTACATTCAAATTGTGACATCATAATTATTACAAATGTTGGAAGAAAACTGGTATTGATTAGGAACTGCCCTTTGTATTGTTTTATGGAATTCCACTCCGAATACTTTTGATTGTCTTCCTTATCACTAACCTTTCCCTACAAGTCCTATGTCTGTCCTCTTAATTAACTGCTACATTCATAACTAGGGTTTTGAAATGTGTTGATAGCTATAAAGCTGTTATTGTTTATTAGGCACTTAAGTAAATCTATAAGGTAAGCTTCTGTAACCAGTGTCCACCAGATCGCTTGAGCTACAGATCTTATAACTCCCAATCATTATGGCCAAATAATGGGATTTGGAGACTGAGATCTCTGAAGAGCATCCTATTAGGGAAAGTTTCTATAGCATAGAAACCTTAAAGATGTTAAGTATACTAACTGAGTAGACTCTTACACATACACTGAGAAAACTTTAAATGACATAAATATTTCAGAGTGGGTGTCTATTCAGTTTAAGTGATAAAAACGTAGTGGATTGAAGAAAATAGATTTTCTCTGAATGTGATTAAATGGGAACGTTTTGTAGACTTAAAATATGAAAAGAGATTTCTGATATTTTAAAATTATATGTGAAAGTACCATGAGGCTCAACTGTGAAATGTGGAACAAAAATCTCTTGGGAAAATGCATAAAATTACTGGAAAATAGAACAAAATATATCCTTTAAATAGTTGGCCTGCTTACCAGAGGAAACTATAACTTTTCAAAGGAAGAAAAAGAAAGATAAATATCGGTATGAGACTTATCTCTTCTTTTTTCCTTAGGGACAGGCTGTGATTCTTGGGAACTCAGGGGTACATGCAGCTTCTTACTTACATCAAAACAATCCTTCCAAAAATAGCCTGGTCAGTGTTCCCAAAATAATCCCAAAATATGACAAAATAGTCAATAAGCATAATTTTTGAAATACAGAAGCAAGGCCAGATGTTCACATTTTTTTTCTTTTTGGAAGACAGGTATTTCTTTCACTGATTTCTCAACACACACATAAGCAAAAAATAACACTTTTAAGTATCACTTTTAAAGCAATCCCCTCCCCCAAGAAGAAAAAAAGAAAGATGACCTTGGTGAAGCTCAACTCCGTGTGTGTGTGTGAGTGTGTGCGTGTGCGTGTGTGTGTACACAAATGCAGTTTTGGCAATAGTACAGAAGTATGTCCATCGTGTTGTTCTGAGATGTTCTGGAAGTTTTCATTCAACTTCAAAGTCTATCCCATAGCTTTGGAGTTTTTCCTATGATCTCAATAGTTTCTAACCAGAGCCGTCTTCTTTTATCTTCCAAACTCAGACAAAGAACAGCAGCCACCTCTTGGTAAGCACTATACAAATTAGCACTGTTATTTTCCTCTTGGCAATGTGTTGGGGAAGAAATTATTTAGATTATGTTGATGAATCATCATAATAACGATGATTTTTGCACAAATAAATAACAGCCTAATAAACGTAAGTATTGATTCTAATTATTCAGGACTAGAACAGTTGGAAACAGCATCTAGACCATTAAAGCATGATATTCAGATTCATGGAAATATCACCATAAATAGTTTCAATCCACACATATTACTAATCACACACTGAATCACAGTTGGGAAGAACGTGGTGCGCATGAAGGCCAACTTAAGCTAAAGAACTGGCAGCTGTTAATTTCACATCGTGTATATAACAGTAATAACAACAGTAACTGCATTTATTTCTACTATTGCAATCACATCTTATCTTTATCTATTTATTAGAAAATTTATTTGCTGCCCATCTCGTATCCAACGACTTGGCATCCTTAGGTGGGGTTGTTTCAAACCCATGACAACATTTTTGATAAAAAATAAAAGTAGCAATGAATATTTTTGAACATACTCATTCCAGATCAGTTCATCTTCTACACTCTAAGTAGACAATACCAATATATTTAGAATAAGGCTTTAATCCAAGACTGAAAAGCAATAAATGGTAACTAAAATGCAGTTATCACTTGATTTTAAAAATCAATGAATTTCACTGGATGAAATATAAGTCCATAAAGCTTCATGGCTTTCACAATCCATTTTGGTGCTTACCTGCAGTTGATTCTTGGCACTTGTCAAATGACCACCGTACTTCAACAGCACGGCCCCTTTGTTTTATCTGCTGTTCTACTTCAAAAATCTTTGCACGGACCTGTAAAGAAAGCAACAATTGCATAATGCATAATGTACTACATAACGCATACATTTTAGTGCTGGCTTTGCCAGAGCATGAGGATATATATCTGAAAAATGAACGCATGGATGAAAACAGGAAAGCAACATACTCTTGTAAGTTACAACAAAATAGCCTTTTGATCTGATAAACCTTAACATTCGTCTTTCTGAAAGTTTTAATTAAATTTGCTAGCATTTGAAAAACGCTGCAAAGGAACAAAGGAAATGGTGTGTTCTTTTATATGAATATTCCAACATTCTCGGAAAATTCATTTCTAACAGTCTTTTTTCTACCTTTCTTCTACATTCACATGAAGCAAACTCCTGCCCGTTCTTCCTATATAAATATATGAACTCTACAATGGAGATGCAGGAAAAGGTGATGAATGAGGGACAGCCACTAGCTGTAAAAGACAGGATTGTGGGATTTTTCAGCAGAATGGATTGTTCATGTTTTGAAACCCAAGTAAAAATTACCTGCTGATTGAATACAGAATTTCCTCCTGGCATTGGTAAGCTGGATGGAGAAACTTGAAGTAAATCCAAAGGTGAGCCAGGATTTATGTTTTTACTTTCATTTGTAGAATAATTCCAGACCAAGGCACTTGGGCAACAGAGAGTTATAGTCTGAAGTAGAAAATGGAAAAACTTAAATGATGTAATTAGATTATTCAATTTTATAGAAGGCAGCAAAAAAAAACCTTTTAGAAAAAAGGGTTTTGTTTTGCTTTTAAAGTGCGCACAATTTGTTCAAAATGTCCTTATACCTATTTCATTATATTCATCAAAAAATATATTGGTTTAAGATCATTGCAATTCGAGAAATAATATGCGTTTAAAAATTAAACATATTCTTCTCTGAATTCTCAAACTGAAGCAAACCATCAGAATTGATTTTAAAAAATAAAATAGAACATATTATTTCCCCCACACCCCAAAAAACTAGAGATTCTACTGGTTTTGTAGACTACTTTTACTAGAGAACAAAAGTAGATGCTCAGTATTATTACCTTCATGATACATTATAAAAAGTCACAGTGAATGGGCACAATCCTAAGCCTTTTACTCCAATTTTATAGCTATGTGATTATTCTAGACAGTCAGAAGAAAATGGTCTTTCTAGAAAATATCTTAGAAAGTAAGAAATAATCACCCAAATATTTGTCAGGAAAAACACTATTTTAATCCCAATGTCTTCCTGATTAAATTTCAAACGTATCTGAGATACTTTAAATTCACATACAATTGCTTTCTGTAAGCAGAGGGAGGGAGAGATCCTCAATGCAGTACTTATTCAACAGTAACATAACCAATAAATGTTATTTCAGAATATCCTCTTGGCTATGCACTTACCTGCAGCATACAGCTTAGGCCGTAGACAAGAGGGCGGTGTTGGGGGCAGGAAAGGAAATCTGAACAGGCAAGCTGGGCAGGATTGACTACAGTACCAGTTGTCGAAGAGCTGGGAGCTGCCAGAGGAGGATTATTTGGTCCGATAATAATATGAGGCGAGTGGGCAGCTATGAGGTTAGTATTGTCACTTATCAACAAAGAGACACGTCTGGCACAGAAGTAAGCAAGGCGACGCGACAGGTAGGCTGACTGAACAAACTCTTCAGAATACTGAAAGACATTAGTTTTTTAAAACCATCATCAGAGTGCATATCGAAATTTCCCATCCAGTTGATGTTACTTTCTTTAGCATCCCCAAACATCAAAGTCAAGTCTTAATTCCTTCCAAGGACTTCCAGGCTCTCACACAAGGAAGCGTTTGGTGTATCAAGTCCACCAGCACTTCTTTTTTCAATTACAAACTTTTCCAACCCATCTCTCCTAAATCAGAGTTGGCAACCACAGGACTTCCAGTACCTTTTATGTGATTTCCTAGACTTTTGTCCCAGACCATTCCCCCCATGGCCAGGCTCTGTGCTGTCCGTTTTGTCTGGTTTATGGGAAAAAAGATCTGGTGCGGGGTAAGGGGTAGATGGAAACCTTAACTCTCAGAAGAAAAAGAGCTAGATATTGAAAGAATCGGTAGTCGTATGTAAATAAAAAGTATAGGGTGAGTTCTAAAATAGACTTTTAAAATGTTAAATACTATAGAATCAGGATGGGAATCTTTTCAGTCATTCTTATGATTTTCTATACAGGAATATGTAAGCAATGTTTTAAATGGGCCAAAAGTTGAATAAAACCTCGTAAGATTTCCACATTCTGAAATCTCACAAGATCTATTGATGCAATTTGGAGGTCATTGCCATCTCTCTTTCAAGCCTTTAGTACCAGGATGGCAAACCTATGGCATGCATGCCACAGGTGGCACACGGAACCATTTGTCAGGGCACGCGAGGCCAGCGGCTCCAGAGTTCTAAAAACGGCCCTACAGACAAACCAGAAGTGACTTCTGGTTTGCTCGTAGGGTTGTTTTTCATCCTCCGGAGCCTTCAGGGAAGCCTCCTGAAGGTCCCTGAAGGCTCCAGAGTACTAAAAATGGTCCTACGGACAAACTGGAAGTGACTTCTGATTTGCTCATAGGGTTGTTTTTTGCCCTCCATAGCCTTCAGGGAAGCCTCCGGAAGGCCCCTGAAGGCTACAGGGGGCTAAAATTGATCCTACAAGCAAACCGGAAGTCTGTTCCTGAATTTCTGGTTTGCCTGTAGAGCCAATTTTTTGTGGTCCAGAGACTTCAGGGAAACTCTGGGGGGGGCAGGGGAGGCTGTTTTCATCCTCCCCAGGCTCTCATAAAGCATCTGAAGCTTGGGGAAGGAGAAAAAAGCATTAAAAAATGGGGGTGGAGCATGGTCATGTGCACATGTGTGCTGGGGGTCACACATTGCATTATGGGTGTGGCACACCTGAACACAACCCCCCCTGCGCTCCCCTCTTTTGGCACGCGAGCCAAAAAAGGTTCAGCATCACTGCTCTAGTAGCTTTGTGAATTGAAAGTGAATTTTTGCAGGCATGAATTTTACTGAGTTCTCTCTACCAAGACTTATTAAGGTGAAAGTTAGCACTGATACCACACTAGAAATTGAATGACCTTTGGTCAAGAATTAACATATTTCCCTGTATATTAGGAGTTTGAGATTTGAGTCTTTCTTCCACAGCCTTACAACTGTTAATTACAGAGAGGAGACAAATATTTTAGTCAATAAACTGAAAGTTGGCAGATATTTTTTATTTATACCTGTTATTTGACTTCTTATCTGACATAAAACCTTGCATTCCAATTATAAACAAGCTACACTCAGTTTAACATTCTGAATTCTGAAAACATCAACTGTTTGAGTATTTTGGGAAATACTCCCAAAATACATTAACCTTTGTACCTGCAGCATTAGTGGTAGGAGAAGTTTCAAAAGTTCGTCATCAGCTGGTCTTATTTTTTCCAAGACATCCAGGATCCATGTTAAATATTCATGTCTTTCAAGCATTCCTTCCTTAAGGAATTTTAGAAATATATGTAAAGAAATTCCCAAATTCAGCAGAAAACAATTACATCACTGATTCATTGCTTAAGATGCCAATTAAGAATAAATGCCACAAAACTTAATGTCACAAAACTGACATAAATTACAAAACAATGTTAACATTTAAAATTAATAGTTTAAAAGTCGCATACCGGTTACCTAAACATCTGAAATGAAACAGAATCATCATTATCATCCTCCAGTGTCAATTCAGTTCTTCCTGTAATGGTGCTTAGCCAAAACCTTACCATTCACAAACAAGAATCAGAAGACCAAGCCAAATTCACTTCAGTGAAATGCAGTGTTCAGAGTTGTTTAAGCAAAATAAATAGATAGGGAAATGAATGAAACAGTGGTTGAACAAGAAAGAAAGTAGAAAAGGCAGAGGTTTTTATTTAAGAAGATTGAATGCTCTTGTAGCCTGATTGTTCAGACTACTTACTTATACTAAAAAATTATTTTACGCACTTACAGGTATAAGTGTACCTAATATTCCATTCTAAATGGAAACAGAATGATTTCTCTTTTTTGAGGAGGCAGAAAAAATGTAGTGACAAGAAATAGACTAAAAGTTTGAAAGTCTGAACAGAAGCCTTCTACTACAGCTTGTTGTGTATAACTACTAGTTGTACTATATTTTAATTGTTCTCTCTTTGACAAAGACTGAGTGTGTATCCAAAATATGGTAAATATATGCTAAACGGGTTCTATACTTCCTTTTTCTTGGGAAGAATGTGAAAGGAAGGCATTATTGAATGATTCTATAGAGTACATCTTTTTCAAAGAGTACAAGGTTAATTTATTCTGCAACTAGTATAGTTTTCTTTTTCATTAGAGATGCACAGTTTTGGTATTTATGCTATTTATAATACCATTACATATCAATTAACAGCATCTATCCTTGCTTAATAAGTTTAATTGGGACCAGAGGTTCTACCACTAAGTGATGCAGTTCTTAAATGAAACAACATGAAACCACACTGATGGTGAAAGCAATTTTGGTTGTCCCAGTTCCAGTTGTTAGGCCAGGAACATGCCATGTTAGATGAGGACCTCATGCTTCTCTGTCATGCTGTGTTTGCCTCCACTTAAACTCTGCACACCCACCTATCTACCCCACAACTTTGCCTTTTGACTATCCTGCACTCCATTGCTGCTGCACCTCTGCCAATCTCTGCCATCCCAGCTGTCTTCATCATCTTTGTTCTCCAGCCACCAAGGTGTGCCTAGCCAGGCCTTTCATGAGTCAGTGAGTTCAGGATGGTGAGGGTGCAGAATGGAGTGCAGGGTCGTAGGGATGGCAGAGACCAGGGCAGCAGGGAAAGCAGAATACAGGGCAGCCAACTGGGCAGAGATGGGAGGGAGATAAACAGGTAGGAAAAGTTGAAGCACACATTGTGAATGTAAATGCAGGTAGGCTGCCAAGCACCTGAATTCTAATCAACTGACCATAAGAGAATTGCAATGGCCATAACTTTGAAGATAAGTCATAAATATCATTTGTTCAGCAGTATCATACATTTGAACAGTCACTGACTGAATGTTCATAAAGAGAGAACTACCTGATAAAAGTAGTACATTCATAAGCTGTTTCTTGCAACTATTTAATTTTGAATTGTCTGACTGATAAGTCTTCATTGAATATGTTTAACATGCACTTTTTCACTATAATCTGACATTTCTTATAACTACTCATGTAGTTTAGTATAACTACTAAATATATGCAGATAAATAATTTGTGGTCAGGGCAGTGATTCTGATCGTTGCACGAGATGATGAATGACATACAGTAAATGCACATCTGTAATATTGCTGTTGCTACTGCTCTTGTTATTTGCATTACTTTAAATTCTTAAATTCTACATTTCTTCACACTGGATGTTTCAGATGTTAACACAAAAGAACTATCTGGCCAGAAATAAGTCTGGCTTTAATTACCAACTATTTAACATTTAATACAGCCTGACACTAAACACATTATGAGCAAGGAGGCTGAAAACAAACTAGAATCATATTGTACTGCTTTGAAAAAATTTTATCCTGCTTCATTGTAAAAAAGGTTACCTGGAACATATAAAATGCCAACTTTTCATTATATTCCCACTGCTTCAGAGCTTGTTCCACTTCACGAGGCACAACTACAGAGTTTTTGCCTTGGCTTGTAGACATGTGATAAAATTCTGCAATCTTTACCAACTGTTCTCTTAGGTATCTGGTAGAGATTTGAGTCCATTCTATAGAGACACAAATTAAGTAATCATTGACATTCACTTTTCTTCAATGACAAAACTGGGCCAAAAAAATTCAACACAATTGGATTTATATTCAGCTGAGCTTCACAAACCCATAATCTTCAAAATAGTGATCAGTGGGAGAGCTACAAGAATCCAGTTTAAATAGCTTTTAGCATGACAATCTCTTTATTACAATACTTTCAAAGAATGCAAGCTTGTACCTGTAGTTTGCTAAAGGAAGTTTAATGTCTTGTTTTCAGGGATCACATTTATGTATTTTGAGCAAGAAGAAATGAATTATAGTTTGATATGAACCAGGTTTGAGAATTCATTTGAGAATAAAAATTATTCTTCAAGCATTTCCATGTAGTATCAGTCATCAAGTGAAAATAATTTGCTTCACTTTGAGAACATAAATTCAGAATTGACTATTGGCTTTACATAGACTCTTTATGTAAAATAAGTGATTATATTTGAAATTAATATTAATTCTTCTCTCACTCTGAAGAGTCATCATCTGATTCTGATACAAACCATAGAGACTTCAGAGCAGAGTTATATTTTGCAACATTGCAACAGTTGAATCCAAGGAAAGATTCTAAGCCCTCACAAAGGCAGATCCCTCAAAAACTATGACCAAGGGATCAAAAAGTAGAAATTGTTTAATTACAAGGAACAGGTATCTATCCCCCCCACACACACACAGGTCTGCTTAGGAACCAATCTTTCCTCCTGAACACAGAGTAGACCTGAAGGATGGAGCAGAGGCATACAATATTGAAACAAATTTTATTTTGCCTTTGGAAATATTCAGCAAACTTGTCTTCATTTAAGAACTATTGGGCTGCTGAACTGTGACACCTGACTGCCCTTCACTTTGAAATTGACCTCTGGAGCTTCTTTGGTTCCTTAGCTGTTTACTTTCCGCCATCTTATGGCTAGTATCTGAGCTACGAAACTGGATGGCAGCAGAAAGATCCAGATCATCTGTCATTATCTTTCCTGATATTTGTAATTCAGATCTGTTAACCCTTGTTGTGATGTGAGCACATTTATTTTTTCTATATTCAAATTATGCATTTGAGAGCAACTCAGTTTACAATTTTTAGAAAAGGACAGCAACATTAGCAGCTTATTATTTGAATATTTCACCATTTCACAGTTAACACTGTGCATTTTGATTGCTTAAATCCCAGTGATATGAACTCAGGTGACAAGAGATGTGGAACAATCCATTTTGCTATCCAATACAACAGTATCCACTCCCAATGATAATTGCCATCCAACAAAATAACTAATTCTCCTGATCTCCCTTATCTGCATACCCGTCTTACTGTATTTCTGAAATCAGCTTCCACCTACACATCATGCACTATAAAAGGAGAATGCAGCTCAGGAATGTTGAATCTTTTCCAAAATGCAGTTTTAATTCTCAAACATATTTTAAACCAGAGGAATTCCTTTTATCTAATACATAACATGGAGTTATATTTAAATACACAGTTTTGATTTTGTTTCATAGAGTTCAAAACTAGATATTATTCATTAAAACACATGGTAGCTGAGATGAAGATTTCTACAGTGTCAAATGCTTTAGAGATGACATTTACAAAGTTCATTTTTCAACTATTTTGGCATAGCTTTCATTAGCTGAAGACCACACATCTGAGTGGTATATTGAGAGATACATACTCTTCAAACCCATGAGTAGCAAAGACAAACTCAAAATTTGTTTTATTTGCATAATTTAAGTGAAATTAAATATGCTTAAGATATTTGTCTCTGGATATATAGTTATTCATTTTCCCCTTCTATAACGTGAAAAGTAGCAATTTGTAATAATCTTTTATGGTTTATTGGCTACCTGCAACAGATGTTGATTATGTCTTAGTGACTAAATTGCTTCCAATTCCTACAAGCCAAAAAATTCATTTTCCAGCCTACATTTTGCATAAAATAATATGGAAAAAAATGGTAAGTTTTACACTTCCATTTGTTTAGAAATGCAATGATACATAGTTTATTTATTTTTTCAAGAGATATTATAGTAATAAACTAAGAGAATCATTTCAATATTACGCCAGTAGATATTTCAGAATGGAATCCTCCATCACTATCAAAGATTTATGCAGTACTGCATTAATGTTACGGACAGAACATGCCAAAGGGAAAAATATTCAAATCAAACTGTCAACATATCATCTTTACAGCAAAACTCTACTTCCTGCTGACTATTGACTGAGCCTTTCTATTTTCATAATCCATGCGCCTCTGAGAAACTCACCGAGATCAACATATTACAGAGTAGATATGAAACAATCCTAGATTTAAAATGATGCCTCTGGGCATTCAAGAAAATAAATTAGTCTTATTACTTCTACAGATCAGTCAATAAAGTATCTCGGAAATTTAATGTGACAGCTATTAAAAAACTAAAATTCATTGTATTTGCTATATCAGTAAACATGCCACAGTATATTGTATGCTGACATTTTAGTTAGTGATGTAAGTACTAAATTTATTTCTCTCACCAAAAATATCACTTGAAGCCAAGACTGCCAAACAGAGGCTGTCATACTTTGGTCATGTCATGAGAGTTGAGTCACTCGAAAAGTCAACCATGCTGGGAATGATCAGTAGCAAAAGGAGAAGGGGCCGCCCTAGTATCTGTTGGCTGAACACTATAAAAGATGACACTGGGATAACCAGGGCAAATCTGAAGGAGACAGTATAACACAGAGGGACCTAGGGAGTGCTGATCCATTGAGTGGCCAAGGGTCAGACACAACTGAATGACTGATGACAAAGATGTAAGTACTAGAACCGTGATGGCGAACCCATTGGAACAGGTGGTACGCGGAGCCATATTTGTTGGCACATTAGCTGTCAGCCCTGGCATGCATGCACATGCCAGCCAGCTGATTTTTTGCCCTTCTGGAGGGCCGGGGGAGGCCGGTTTTTTTCTTCCCCAGGCTTCAGGAAAGCCTCCGGAGGCTGGGGAGGATGAAAAATGGCCTCAACAAGGCAACCAGAAGTTTGGAAATGATCCAATTCTGGCTTCCAGGGAGTGGGGGAGGCCGTTTTCATCCTCCCCAGGCTTCACGAAAGCCTCCAGAACCTGGGAAGAGGTTGTGCGCACATACACAGGGGGGTCTCGCATGCATGTGCAGGTGGGCAGGGAGAATTACATTGGTGTAGGTACATGGGCACGTGGAATTTTGGCACACCGTAAGAAAAGGGTTTGCCATCACTGTACTAGAAGATTCTCAAATTTAGTTAACAAAACTTAAGGCACAATTTGACTTCTTTTCAGCTTAGTATGATGAATGTCATAACATTATATGTGAAAGGGATTTTCATTACATTACATTCCTCTTATCCAGTTATTTTAGGAGCTAAAGTTTAATACATCTGGAGAGCACATGGTTGAAAAACTATTTTACATATACAGTAACAAGTCATATTTTGCAAGGCAATTTATATTTGCTTGGAGGCACTAATAGATAGCTATGAAGACAAAAGTCTATAATATAAAAGCAATTGGAAAGAATTATTGTGTGAGGCAGGTTTAATTAGGCATCCGGAACATGTCATATCAGCACTACAGTAAGGAAAGCTCTAGCCATATGCATGTTTGTTATGAAACTCAGCTAAGCACATCTTATTGAGCAAATGCACAAACAATACAGAATAGCTTAATATGCAAGACTGAATCTCACTTTGTGAAAAAATGAAGGTATAAACATTTTTAAACTAACAGCAATGACCAGAATATTTCTTTAAAAGTCAACACCAGTGTAATTTTTTAATATACATCTTTTACTTTAAACTTAAAGTATGCTTAAAAAGGAAAATGATTTCCATAAGAAGTGAAAGGTAAATCTAGATTCCACTTTTACTGTGAGGTGAGCTCTCAAGATTAAAAGGGAAAAAGCTATTGCAAACAAGCCCCCTTCAATGAATCATGTTGGCAGATCTCTCTTCAGAAATAATATTTAAATAAACGTGGGGAAAATCTGAAAACTTCTTGATGTAAATTGACTGAAAATACAAGTGAAAAGGCATAGAAAATTCTCCATATTTTATAAACTTTGCTAAAAAAGATATGAAGAGATGTAGTGTAAACTAGCTTTATTTCCTTCCATTTTTACCCTATTTCCTTAATTTATTAACTACTTTCCTCCACTCCAAATTATGTTTAGCCCAAAGGAAATAGCATGATGAGTATGTATTATCTACCAATATCAATAGTTTAAATAAAAGGAGTGATCCATTTTGAAAATTGAATATATAGTGACTAAATTTCTAATTAAGCGATGAAGCTACCATTCTTGAAAACATGGTGTTAATAATGTAAAAACCAAATGTCATTAATAGATACAGCCTATTTGTCTAGAAAACAGCTGTCAAACTCCCAGCCCGCAGGCCAGATACATCACACATGCTGGCCACGCTCACACCCGATTTAGTGAAGGGGAGAAAGTCCCAATACATCATGTGACACTGACATGATGATGTGAGTTTGACACCCCTGGTCTAGAATCTGCTCATGTTTCTCATTTAAGATAGCAAGAGAACAATTAATATATTTACATTTAGGTCATTAATCATGTTTTAGCTTTCATTCTGCTCTTGTACTAAGCTTATGATTCTTGGTTTTTTGAACTGCATAGACACCTACTGTAGTTTATAAAGCATACAAGAAAAAGTGAAGCCCATCAACTTATACCCTCCGTACAATAGTGCAATTCCATAGCTGTGCAAAAATAAGATATTACATTCAGCATTTATTACCAAGATTTGGATCAGCTGCCTGGCGTTTCTTGATTTTAGCTTCAGAGATGGCTGAGTAGTAGGCACACGTCATTTTTATCAACCATGCCGCTCGCAAGAGTGGCACAGAATATCTTGCTAAATAAGCAAAAACGTCTTCCTTTTTGCTGAGAATCGGGACCTATATTTGAAGACGAAGAGAAAGAACTTTAAGAAGTGGATACAATACTCTAAACCTTTTAATAACAAATTGTAACATCTAATTCAACTTTAGAGAGCTAACCTTAACTGAATGACATCTGTAGTGGGTTTCCATTATTTTTACTACCCGTTAGTGACTGATTGGTATCAGATTAGTCAAACTATTGCTTCTTGGTATGTCAAAAATAATTTATAGGTTTAAATAATATAGAGTTAATCTGGATCAAATGAAATTCTGTATTATTCCCATTAAAAGCTGCTTTATTTCTAATAGTAAACTAAAAACGCACTTGTTGGCAAAAATCAATATTTTATTCATTGATCAAATGCATTTCTCCACATTTTTCAAAGAATATTGAATAACAATAGCTTTATTATGCTGCTTATGAAAAATGTTTGAGGCAAAATATGCTAAACTTATATAGTCTGTTACATTGGCAGTTCTTATATCTCAACATAATTAACAGCTCCCATAAAATGTTATATTTCTTAAAGATGCAAGCCCAAAATGTTGCATCTAAGTCCTATGAAAAAGAGATCAGTTCCATTAATGCAGATTTAGTGAAGATTCTTAGGTGACATTTAGGCTTGATTTAACAATATCTAAAAATGAGCAACATTTCTACCCCTCAAGAAATAGATTCTATCAGGTTTCCTGAAATATTGAAAAGTTTCCTTCACTATTGTGTTTAGGATTCCTATTATTTTCAAAAACTTCCTTTTTAATACTGTCTAGAAGTTTACACACAATATGTTCACTTTACTAGGAAACAATATGTGTTAGTCAGCACCTAAAGTGGTGGATACCTTAGTAAAAGACAAAATTCTAACATAACTTTTTCACAGCTCGCCACAAGGAGTTTCACGCAGATATAATTTTTTACCAGTTTTTACTCTTTTTATTGTCTCTGAGGACTTGAGCAAGTTTCAGTATCTATTTGTGCAATATATCATAGTTACGTACAACTCACTGGAGGACAAGGTGTCATTTTACGCACTGCATTCCAACATAGACAATAAGAGGGCCAAAGCACTTCTCGTTGCTATTATGTACAAGCCATTCATAACTCTGAAAATCCAGAAGTCTGCTCTAATGTGCATATTCTCCATGGCCATCCAGTAGCTACCTCTGTCTGCTGCTGAATGTCACTTCTTGCCAATATTTGCAGCATTAGCCAGATATAGTATTCATTTGTTATAAGTCATTCTCTCCTGCTCCACCTCATAACTCCATTAGTCAGCTTTGCCAGTAACTAAACTTAGCATTTCAAGCATCTACCCAAACTGACACAATTCTGTACTATCTCAAATGACCAAAAATGATTGGTGGTTGTTTTCCACTGACAAGGGAAATGAAGGAGAGAAATCCACCAATCCCTTTCCTTAAATCACTTGCAAGGAGTAATTAAGGAATCATTTACTGGCCTTATTACTGCCGGACAAGAGCCAAGGTGGCGCAGTGGTTAAATGCAGCACTGCAGGCTACTGCTAGATCAGCAGGTCAGCGGTTCAAATCTCACCGGCTCAGGGTTGACTCAGNCCAGAGTCCATGTGACTAGAAATAATTCTATTGTAGTGATGCGGATCAACAAACTCCAGCACACCGACAATGGTATCTACCACTGTAAGAACAAGGACTCATTGAAGGCGACATGTGGTACTGAACTCAAAGTCATGGGTAAATTTTTAATCTTCTAAATACTGCCCTCTCGGATGCTACATGCTTGGGTATCGCTATGTATGGACAATACTTCTTGACACAAGGCCATACATTCTGTTCCTAAAGAAAAATATACCAGTTAATTTCTGGGATTCTGTCTGTTCATACTGGCAGCCTGTCTTAGCTAGACACGTAATGAATTAGAATAGATTAGAATAGAATAGAATAGAATAGAATAGAATAGAATAGAACAATGCAATGCAATACAATACAATACAATGCAAAAGTTTGAAGGGTCCTTAGAGGTCTTCAAGTCCAACCCTCACTTAGGCAGGAAACCCTATACCATTTCAGACAAATAGTTGTCCAATGACTTCTTAAAAACTTCCAGTGTTGCAGCATTCACAACTTCTGGAGGCAAGTTGTTCCACTGATTAATTGTTCTGCCGGGAAATTTCTCTTTAGTTCTAAGTTGCTTCTGTCCTTGATTAGTTTCCACCCATTGCTTCTTGTTCTACCCTCAGGTGCCCTGAAGAATAGTTTGTCTCTCTCTTCTTTGTGGCAACCCCTGAGATATTGGAACACTGCTACCATGTCTTCCCTAGTTCTTCTTTCATTAAAGTAAACATACCCAGTTCCTGCAACCGTTCTTCATATGTTATAGTCTCCAGTCCCCTAATCATCTTTGCCAGTCTTCTCTGCACTCTTTCTAGAGTCTTCAATTCTCACAGATTTTTAATACAGTACATTTTGAAACATTCCAATCTCTTGGTACTTTCTACAGAGTTTAACAAAAAATGCAAATCACAGAATGGGCTTTTTTCATGTATAGTTTCATTCTTTTTCCAGCAACTTTCCCTATAAATTTTCACATGGATTTCTTGGATTGACATAGGATGTTAGCTATTGTTGAAAGAAAAATCCATCTGGTTCAGTTCCAAGCCGGGAAAGGGGAATTGGGAATAAAATAAAGGCTAGCTACTTAGGAAAGAAGGTCCATTTATTGTTGAACAGAACCACCAACAGCATATGGTTCTGGGGCAGCTGACCAACTGGTAGAATGAGCAGATGGATTTTTATAGCTTTCTGTGATACTGCTGGGGGTTGTGCAATGCCTGAAATTTCAGACATTGAAATGCCCCTAAGAATTGTGCAATGTAGTGAGCTCTGTTTCTTTTGCTATTCTAATGGTGGTGCCTTAATCCTATTATGTCCTAAAGGTCATGTCCTGTTCTTAGAATTTAGGTGGAGAACAGTGGTAGGTTTCTACCAGTTCACGGAAATCTGAACCAGTTAGAAGAGGTTCCACCGGTAGACCCGAAAGTAAGTTCCAGAACGCCTGCCTTGGCCCTGTTGCTTACTTGCCCTGCCCGTTCCATTGCAGATCACTCACCTGACCGCCCGTCTGCACTAAACTATCCCAGCCCGCCATTCACTGATTGGCTGGAGTCCAGACAATCAGTGAGCAGGCTAGTGTTGACCCACCCACCTCTAATACCTGTTTAAAAGCACGGCGAGTCCTCCCTTCATTTTGTTTTGTTTCGTCTTCCAGCAGGTAAGCAACTAAGCGTGAGGAGGGGCAGTGAGGGCTGCAGGGGTGGTGGGAGGCTAACTTACACCAGCTCACGGCTTTCGTGAGGGAAAGCCTTCAGGCCTTTCCTCGCAAAAGCGCAAGCTGGTGTATGCTGCATGGTGGCATTGGTGGGATGGGCGAGCTGGTGTGTGGTGGGATAGTGACCTGGCATGCGGCAGTGGTGGCGGCAGTGGCGGCGGTAGTGGTGGTGGCAGTGGCAGCAGTGGTGGTGGCGGGGGCAATGCCAGCGGTGGCGGTGGTGGCAGCGGCGGCAGCCTAGCTTACGCTGGCTTGTGGCTTTCATGAGGGAAGGCCTTCAGGCCTTGCTTCGCGAAAGCTGCAAGCTGGCGTACACCACATGGCCAAAAGGAGGTGGGCAGTGCTGCTGGTGGCAAGATGGGCGAGCTGGCAGGCGGCAGTGGAGGTGGTGGTGGCAGACTAGCTTACTCCAGCTCATGGCTGGAGTTGACCCGCCTGCCTCTAACACCTGTTTAAAAGTGTAGCGGGTCCTCCCTTCATTTCATTTTGTTTTGCTTTGCCTTCCAGCAGGTAAGCAACTAAGTGCAAGAAGGGATGGCAGGGGTGGCAGGGGTGGTGGGAGGCTAGCTTACACCAGCTCGCGCCTTTTGCGAGGGAAGGCCTTCAGGCTTTGCCTCATGAAAGCTGCAAGCTGGCGTACGCCACGTGGCCAAAAGGAGGTAGGCAGGGCCGCCAGTGGCAACATGGGTGAGCTGGCGTGCGGCAGTGGTGGTGGTGGTGGTGGCAGGCTAGCTTACATTAGCTCACGACTGGAGTTGACCCGCCCGCCTCTAACACCTGTTTAAAAGCACGGCGGGTCCTCCCTTCATTTAATTTTGTTTTGCTTTGCCTTCCAGCAGGTAAGCAACTAAGCACGGCGGGTCCTCCCTTCATTTAATTTTGTTTTGCTTTGCCTTCCAGCAGGTAAGCAACTAAGCATGGGAAGGGGTGGCAGAGGTGGCAGCGGTGGTGGGAGGCTAGCTTCCACCAGCTCGCGCCTTTTGCAAGGGAAGGCCTTCAGGGGTGACGGGATGGGTGAGCTGGCATGCAATGGGATGGGTGAGCTGGCATGTGGCAGTGGTGGTGGTGGCGGCTGCAGCCAGTGGCGGCAGGCTAGCTTACACCAGCTAGCAGCTTTCACGCGGAAAGGCCTTCAGGCCTTGCCTCACAAAAGCCACGAGCTGACGTATGCCACGTGGCCAAAAGGAGGTGGGTGGCAGTAGTGGCAGTGGCAGGATGCGTGAGCTGGCATGCAGTGGTGGTGGCTGTGGCAGCAGGCTAGCTTACACCAGCTAGCAGCTTTCACGCGGAAAGGCCTTCAGGCCTTGCCTCACAAAAGCCACGAGCTGACGTATGCCAC